GGCTTATTGAGTTTTTTTTGGTGTGTGTAAAAACCTAAAATAGTTTTTTGTGGTGTAGTCACACACCCAGATTAGGGGGGCCCAAGTTTGAGAATCTAGAGGCGTCTGCAGGGTGTGGTCATGAAGGTCAAGACTTTTTGGACTACACCCTGTGGACATCTCTGTTCAGATCCCTAAGTCAGTGACTCCCCCATCATGACCTCTGTCTCCTTGACTGGGGTGGACAACCCTTCAGCCTGATTTTTGGAGTATTCTCATTGGACCAATAAAACCCCACCCTCCAAGGATGGTTCAGGGAGGAGTGCTCAGGTTTCTTGGATTTTTAAATGTTGTGGGACAAAAGAATATTTAGTCCTCGGTCCTTGCATAGTTGTATCCTGGCCCCACACAGCACGAAGCACATCCCTCCACTGTTAGATGTTCTCCGGCTTTTGATGATCACAATCCAATTAGCAAATCTGACCCTCTGGAGCATCCAAGGGCTATTTCCGGTCCTCAGTGTCAATCCCCATCAAGCCTCTATAACAGAGGTCAATCCATCTTTTGATGCCACTGACCCCTTTGGTGAAACCTAGGGACCCCTTCTTAGAAAAACGTATTTAAAGGCCTAAAATAAAATACAGAGACACCGACTGTATTGCAAAGGAAACCAATTATGCTCAAATACAGTGTTCCAAATAACTAACAGAGTAATCTACATGGGCCTGTATTAATCCATTCAACCAATAACAAATACCCTTTAATAGGGTGCAATGCTATTGGATAGTGAAAATTATTGAAGCAACAGTTTTGGAGTCTAGAGGCCAGAAATGAGTTCGTGGCCTGCATACATGACTGAATGAAAAGCTTGGATTCAGCATGACTGAATGAGAAGTTCAGTTACAGGTTAGTGAAAATAAAGTTGTGATTCTTTTTCCCCCATCCAAGTTCACAGACCCCTTGCAAATGAATTATGGACCCCCAGGGATCTAGCTATGGAGCCCAAGTTAAGAAGCCCTACTCTATTATGTTGATTTTGGTTGGTTGCTGGATGTGATACCGTATTTCGGGTGTGAGGGGCATCTTAACCCAAACCATTGGTTAAACCCACCGATCTTGCGACTGTCCTCTTTTCTCCCTGTGTCTCCCACCAGGAAACCACTGATCAGTCACAGCCCTGCTGTAATCTGGGGATGGATCTGACCGATGGCTAGATTTGCAGTTACAACCATCCCTCAAAAGCTGGTTCCTTGCAGAACTTGCTAATCAGCAGATCCACAAGATAAGGGGGTTATGCAGTAAATCTTTACATTGTAGGCCCTCATCTTGACTTTTTTGACCCTCCTTGCTACATCGGAGTCGCTCTCGTGTGCTAAAGAAAGGGTTGTGCTAAAGATAAGGCTGCACTTCAGAGGGATAGGAGAATTCTGTGGCTCTGGTTCAGTGACTTTCATAAGGACGTGAACGTACAGTACTTCCACCCATTTCTGGATCATATCACTTTCTCTGTGGTTCATTCATAGCTCTGCTTTGTCTCAGTTATGCACTAATAGCCACAGGAAATTAAAGGGAGAACAATTACTATATATTGAGACAGAATGAAAGAGAGAGATGGAAGCTTTTTTTCAGAAAATGCACATTTTAAAACCTGTTGGGTTGGCATTTTAACATTTATTGTATCCTAATTGTTTTTAAAACTATTTCTGTGTCATCTTCTAGCCCAGAACTGGAGGATAAAATTATATGGTAAATCTGTTCTGGTCTGGCCTCTCATTTGCAAGTAGATGAGATAAAATTTGCATGAAAATGGGCAAAGATCAAATTCCTCATTCATCCCAAGACATTAATATGGAATTAATAATCGCACAGCCTCACTTCCAACTTGCAATCTTCCAGAGGCAATCTAACATGAGATTTATTGACTAAGCAAGAATTTCTTAATGCCAGAATTAACTTCCAATTGCATTTATTCAACTCTCAATTGCTTGTTAATGAACTATTTGTACTCTAATCCTGAATTGACCAAAACTGCATTTGTTGATCCAGTCCATTATACTGCAGTAATTAAAAGAATGCCTTGATTTTACTCAGCACAAACTTTAGTTCCAATAAAAGAGAATCTCTGTAGCTCAGGGTTGAGCTGTGGAGTCCTTGGGGCTCTCTGAGTTTGGTTGTTTGTTTGCAGACGTTTCATTACCTGACTAGGTAATATCATCAGTGCGAGGGAGTGTGGGGTTTGCTTCCTGTTTATATACAGTAGCGTGCATCTTCCAAAAACTTCCAGCATAATGGATACCCATGCAACTTTATCAACAAGTGCCTGACCACTCAACTCACTACAGCACAACCAGCACAAGCGATTAAAAGGATCACACTGCCATACATCAGAAACATCTCAGAAAAAGCCAGCAGACTATTACAGCCATGTGGCCTCTCCGTAGCATGCAAACCAACTAAAGCCCTCCAAAACATCTTAAGCAAACCCAAAGACCCAGTGGCCCATGCAGAAAAACCATGAGTCATCTACAACATACAGTGTCAGGACTGTAACGGCCACTATGTAGGACAGACAGGCAGAAGGCGTGCAGAGCGCATCCATGAGCACCAACCAGCAGTCAGAAGGCACAATGAAAACTCCTTAATCTCGCAACACGTGGACAGACTCAACCATAGTTCCAACTGGGAAACTGTTGGCATCTTAGACCAAGCTAAATCCAAAAACGCTAGGAATTCCTGGAAGCCTGGTATTCAGGCAAGTCAGCCATCAATAGAGACATAGAGATAAACCACATTTACACCCACCATTCAAAAGAGACAATAAAAAAGCTAAGAAGAAAACCAAAAGTGTGGTCTAGTGGTTAAGGTTTCAGGCTAGAAACCAGGAAACTGTGAGTTCTAGTCCCACCTTGGGCATGAAAGCTGGCTGGGTGACTTTGGGCCAGTC